AAGAAAAGAAAAGATGAGAGAATAGACGAGAGAATATAGATTCAAGAGAAGAAAAAGTTCATTCTTTTCACACATGAAAACTATATTCTGCAGTACATGTTATTTAATCACAATCACTAGGTTTCCTCCTATTTTGGCTTGGGCTTATCCTAAGGCCCTTGTCTCCATTCCTTTGTTAATTTTCCCATGTGAGTCACATGTTCCCCTTTTAATTCCTCTTTCTCAAAATTCCCCAATTCACTACGTGCAATCCCTAGCCCAATCCCTAATTCATTTTCTAAATCCCCAATGCCCTTCGCTTCTTGCTTCCCCTCCTCTCTCCCAACCATGACAATTCCTCCCCCTTTAGACAATCCTTGTCCCCAAGGATCAAAGTATCGAATTTGTGATAGCAAGACCACAAAATCCTTTGAAGTTGTGATGTCAATGAACCCAGTCTTTGGAGCAGCACTCCATTTACTGCAATATTTATCTAATGTTGCACTTGTAAATGCAAATGTTGCAAATGCGTATTCTAACACACTTCCCGTATTTAAGTTAGCCATGTACAAAAGATCTACAGCTTCTGCCTGTTTTGACATTGTATATAAGGAGGCTAGATTTGGGCACCTAGGGTTCGACACCATTGCAGCTGTAGAAGATTTGAAGAGGTTGGCAACAGGGCTGTCTCCACCATTTTGTGAATACAATGTTTGCCCATCTGCACCAGAAAGCAAGCCCAACCAAGCTGTTGTTTGCATGAAATGTGTGGTATCCAACTCTCTTAAAACAATATAAAGTAGCCCCACCCAATATAATACACTCCCAATCTCCTTTATTCTGCGAAGAACTTCAGCTTTGAGCTCTGGTTTTGTTCCCCAGCTGAGTTGCTCTTTAACGAGCCTCATACATCCTGTCACACCCCCATCAGAAGGAAGAAGTCCAATTGATTTCGGCAGTGCTTCTTGCAAGCCTGTGATCATAAGCTCAAATGTAGCAATCTTGTTTGATATATGATCCAACAGTGCTCGAATAAGCCACGGTAATGACCTAGATCCTAGAAGTTTAACAACTGAAATCATGTGTGGAATTCCAAAAATCCACTATGCAATTGCGCAAAACTTTGATGTGCAGAATTTAAATATTGAGTACCACAATAGAAGTTTGGCTTGGCATGTGGAACTAATGGCTTTTGTACAAGAGCAAGAGGAACTTTTGAAGATCGGATAAAATGCTGAGTAGTATTGCAAAGGATAAAGTTTGGCAGAAAATCATTTTGCATCTCAGACCAAATCTGAGAAGCTAGTCGACTAGAAAATGACACAAGAGATATGTTCTCATGCATCTTCCTTACCTGTCATTGCCGCTGCTCCAACCACAACTTCTCTAAATTTTCCATTTCATACTCCCCAGTCTCCAGATACCTTTGATCAGGTCTCAGCCTAGAATCAGTTGGAGGCAACTTTTCCTTCAGACCAGAAGTCAGCTCATTCAAAGTGATGGCAAATCGTATTAAGTTATATCTGGTGGGATATTTAGGGGAATTGCTCCGCTTCCAAAGTGTATGAGTTTCTGAGAAAGACTCTTATCCGTTTCCCTTTGCATAATAATCTCCAATCACATAATGCATGCTCTCATCCCATTTTCCCAATAATGAAGCCACTGTCCTTTCGTTCCTATCTTGAACTATACCATGTACCTGGTGATCACAGTATAACTTTCCCAGGATGAGATTGTATATTGACGTTGTTACCTTACTCCATTGGAACACTTCTCCATTGTCAAACTCCAAGCTCAAAACACCGACTGGATCCAGCTGAATTGAGCGACCCCAGAACTTACTTTTTAAATTACTATCACCCCACAATTTCCATCCTGTGCCCTGACAGTGACATGCTACAATCATAGGGTGATGACTGACCTTCTCTGAGAAGAAGCGTAAACCTTTATCAGGGAAGTTAACTTCATATGTTTCTCCTAATAATGGATTGAAGGGTTTGCAAATTCTTCCTTTTGTTGAAGAATATGCAGACACAACAAATGCAACTACATTAAGAATTCTCATGAGATTATTCCCCCTTTTCCACCATTCATATGCACGGTCAAGCAAATATGAATACTCCAAATCCTCAAAACACTTTTGAAGAGAAAATAGAGGCTCATTGAAGTATACAGGAAGAAAAACTTGTGTGAGATCTTTCCCAATATTATCCTTAATCATTGACCAAAGACTAACACCTTTCTCTTTTTCAACGGGGTTGGGCAACTTTTTTCGGCGTTTCATGTAAGGAAAGTTACTTCCCACTGATTTAATGCAAGGATCAATGTCATCTTCAGAATCAAAGGCATTAAAACCATCATCTGAATAGAAAGATGATGTCCGGAAATATGATCCATTACTTTTGAAAGGGCTTGATGACAAAAAATCACGAGTTAAAAAAAAATTATGCTCATCCTCATCAGTATCTTCTTCTGCAGTATCAACTCTTTCATTATCCTCATCTGTGTCAGTTACACTTCCTTCTGGCTTCTCAAACCATGGAACAACTCTTAATGGTTTTCCATGGCATTCATGCTGCAGGAACTCAAGAACATCAGAAGAGGCAGTTGCAATTGAAATGGCGTATGCTCCAAAGTTGTTTGCCAAAAACTCTGCCAAGTTACTGATTGTATCCAAAACAACACCATTTTCTTCTGTTATAGGGAGATCAAAACTAGTGATGGATGGCATTTTATCAAACACTTGACACCCATCATTTGTGCCTTCGATTGCCATAGGTATCGACTCCGTTTCAGGGCTGTTTTGGTCTTGCTCCACCGTCTTTCCTGTCAAGACCCTTAGAATCTGCTCGAAATAACCCTTATTCTTTGCAATCCTTGTCTCCAGGTACTGATCTTGTTTCACCAGCTTTGATAATTCGTCAAACTGGTTTTGAATTGCAGAAAGAGCAGAGGATTCAACCATTGCTTTGCCAGGAGTTGTGGCTCTGATTACCAATTTGTTATGACCTTCGAGAAATAGAGAAGAAAATAGACGAAGAAAAGAAAAGATGAGAGAATAGACGAGAGAATATAGATTCAAGAGAAGAAAAAGTTCATTCTTTTCACACATGAAAACTATATTCTGCAGTACATGTTATTTAATCACAATCACTAGGTTTCCTCCTATTTTGGCTTGGGTTTATCCTAAGGCCCTTGTCTCCCTTCCTTTGTTAATTTTCCCATGTGAGTCACATGTTCCCCTTTTAATTCCTCTTTCTCAAAATTCCCCAATTCACTACGTGCAATCCCTAGCTCAATCCCTAATTCATTTTCTAAATCCCCAATGCCCTTCGCTTCTTGCTTCCCCTCCTCTCTCCCAACCATGACAGCCTCCTCCAACTGGAGATGCTAAGCATTTAGTTACAGATTGTCTCCGTCCCTAAATTTTCACATAAAGAGTGGTAACTTTGCACATCAGTTTCTTTGGATGGTTCTGATTGATTACCGCCCTATTATTCTTTTATTTCTTTTCCATCGTTCCATTCAGGGTTTAGTAACCAAGCACTGGCCCTTTATTGCATTTTGAAGACCATTTGCGTGCTCATATAGTATGACTTTCTAACAATTTAACAAGCGATTTAATGGTCTGCCAGTTTGGTAATAAAATCCTTTGCTTGTCAGTTTTCTGTTGATGATATATTATATGTATGCATGAATGTGTGTATGGTACTGCCACATTTCTAATTTATGGTATATATCTTTTTACTACTTTGTTGAACCAAATTTCGTTGGTTAAAAATGAGGCACATCTTTACTCTTCAGTGGAACCTTATGAGAGACTTTCTATTTGAAATTAGTGGATGTGGATCATCTTTACTCTTTAGTTAGACCTCGGAATGTGGAGAGTGGGCTTTTGTTAATGAAGCAACTATCTATTTATCTTTTGGTGTTTTGGATTGAAGAGGGATGTTAATGTTCTTTTTAAACGTCTATAAAATAATGTACACTTGAATGTGTTTTTTTCCTTCGTCTTGAGTAATTCAGACTGATTCGGATTGCACATCTAGCTTTGGTGAGTGAATCTCTTAACGGGGATTTTCTGCATACACAAAGACTCGAACTCAAGACATGTTGAATTGATATCAAGTTGTTTACCGCTTGAACTAACCTCGTTGATACACTTGAATTAACCCCGTTGATACACTTGAATATGCTTAAAGTTATATTTTTATGGGCACGTTACATCCTTTAAATAAAAAGAGTTCATAATCTATCTCTATGATATTCAATTTAAAATTAATCGGTCACTAAGATAAATAAAAAAATCATATATTTATATATATTTTATTATAATAAAAGTATCAATTAAATTAAAACTCAATTAACATTATTAAATAAAAAAAATGTAAAATGCAAAGTTGATCACTTTTGTTTCAATTTTATAAACGTATGATTACTCAATTCAAAAGGTATAATATATGGTCACTTTCGTTTCGTTTTAATTAAGATGTTGTCATTGAGATGTTAGCTGTCGTGAGTTGGATGATATGGCACTTTAGTAAAAAGGTTTAATTTTTATTTGAACACTTAAATTTTAGATAAATTATTAATCATGGGTCTTTTTGTAAACCCAAAATAGTTCAAGGATAAATCTCAATTGACCCCCTCATCTCTCATCTCCATACGCCGATGATTCAAATAACAGTCAGATAATTGTGTCGCGGTCGCGACGGCATCCGAAGTCCTTATCGCGAAAAATAGTGGTATATAATGGAATCACACTAATAACGGCCAGTTGAGGCCACAATTTAACAAATAGAGGGCATCGCGGACCACTACTCTTTTTTCCGCTATTTTATTTATTTTTTAAATAGTTTTTTTTAAATCAACTCATTTAGAAAATATTCACGATTGCGATACCCGTAATGAAATTAATATCATTCGTTATATTCACAATCAAGATAAAAGTAATGTGATCGAAAATGCGACCGTAATTTAAATCTCTGCTCGGTCTTGCTTTCAGAGCATGCAGTGATCGCCTTATAGTGATTGATGGTCCTACCGCCTCAGGTGGCAGTTTTATAGAGTTCAATTCATGGGTTCCGAGCGAAGGGCCTCCCACGATGGGACTTACTAGCCAGAAAGCGATTGGGTAACTTTGTGTATAATTGTGCGGTGATGGGATGCTAGGAGATTGTTTTTTCTGAGGTTTACATGATTGGTTTCTCATCTGTTTTTACAAACTTCATTCAAAGTTCATTCCATTCCATTCGTCTTTCGAAATTGCAGCAAGTAACACATACACAGGAATAGGTTTAATAATTTGAAGTAGCAAAATACGTTTGGATTAGATTTTGGGTTTACAAGAAGATACATGATTATTATTTTTTTCAATAATTTAAGGATTTTAATAGAAATTAAATATTTTTATTAATGTATCACGTCATTCAACTTACTACAGTTAAACCACATCTTAATTCAAACGAAACGAAAGTGGTTGTATATTATATATTTTTTAAATAGAATGATCATACGTTTATAAAACTAAAATAAAAGTGACCAACTATGTAGTTTACCCTAAAAAAACACTTCCATTATTTGAATAAACTTTAAGCTTAAAGCAAACCATCATGACAAAAGCATCAACACACATACAAAATGATCATTCGAAACCATTTTTTCCAACAGTGATACATCAACATGGTTGCATCATCCTGCAACGCCGGCCGGCCGGCCCTCGGAATTCTAAAACTACGATTGCCTATGTCAAAAGACTGTATTACAGGAAACAAGTTATTATTCAGAATCATAACAGAAGAAAGGTGTCGAGAATCACAAAGGGATAGTAAAGTTAAGCATGATTTGCCGATGAAGACGATACAAAAACTCGCCAAAACGGCCGTTGCTTTCGCCGGTGATTGTTGGCGATGAGATCGGTCTCGGATCTTCTCAGCATCTCCCACATCACCTGCACATCTTGGTATCCACATGTTCGTATATCATCGTGTAGCTTTAAAAGCCCAGCACCTGCATCAATTGTTATGGAATTATGAGCCAAAAAAACCAAACTAAGGGTATATATTTGTGCTGTGTTTTTGTTTTATCGATCTAGTTTAGCAGCGATAAGGAGGAGGAGGGGTTGAAAACGCACCGTTTTTGCGAGCTTTGAGAGGGGAAGAAACGGCGAACCGAAATCTACGAACAGGGAAAACCATCTTGCTCCACCAATCCATGAACCTTTCTTTAACTCTGCTCTTCTTCTTGCTGATTTTGATCTTCTTCTTTCCTCCACCTCCGACGAACACTCCAAACGCTGTCGTTTTTAACCCTGCCAGGCCTCTTACAAAGAAGAAGAAGAAGAAGAAGGTTGTTTACAAATTACAAAGAAGGAAATCAAAAAGTGAGTTTTCATCCAATATTTTTACAAAGAGAAGAAGGAGGACACGTGACCTGTGACCAATATATATATATATATATATATATATATATATATATATAGAGAGGGAAACATTGGCTTTAATTTCTAGAATTATAAAGTTTTAAAAAGAAAATAAAATTAAATGGATTTATTTTAGTGGGCGGCGGTTCATTTGTTTGTATCGAAGACAAAATGAGGTAGGAGTTAAATTCATGCTTTCGATATCTATTGGCTAAGGAAATTTGTAACTCTTCTTCCTTTTAGACTTATTCCATGCGTTTTCTTTATTTATCATTGATAATGGTTGATGTGTTTATTTTGTAACAATATAAATGATTATCAACTCGACTCTATGTGTCTCATTTATTTATTATTGATTTTCAAAACATCAATTCAGAATATGTGACAACTTTGTAATTTTTTTTGTAAAATTAAGAAATCTTATTAATATGCACGAATCAAATGATCTCAATAATTAAATAATGATTGTTATTTATAGAGGTCTCGAATTCGAGCATCAGCGACTCTAGCATAGAAGTTTAAACGTTTAATGTCAAATAATTTAGAGTGTTTACAATATATACTATTTTATAATCAAGAAAAATGGCCGTTAATAAATTCAATAAGTTTGATTATTATTTGATGGAGTCTTTGCGTGTAATTCTATATCATAGAATTTAACTTCAACTTTCGGTTAAATAAAAATAATAATTTAATCAAATGATATAATTCAGCTTTTTTATTAATAAAGTAAATTGTTCTATTAATATTATTAAATAATTCAAACGTATTTTTAAAAAGTACTCGTCCTCTTAAATTAATCTTATTTTTTATGAGATAGTTTTAGTAAATTGGAAAGTATTTTGTTAAGGAAAACGATGATTAATTTGGGAGAGTATGCTTTCTAATGTAATCAATAATGAGCTTTTAATTTTTGTCTAATCAACTTAATCTACACGTGACATCGAAAATACACAAAATTTTATATTAAGATATAGAACGTTTAAAAAGTTAGAAGTAAATTATTAATGAATAAATATAAAAAAAAATTAAATTATATGAGAATTTAAAATTTTTAGAAGATGATTATCTATTCATCTTTGTGCGACACCTAAAGCTTATCATATTCCTAAATGACTTAGTATATATTTGGGGATAAATTATGCTATTGGTATGTAAAATATTGATTTTGATTCGTTTTAGTACGTAAAGTTTTAATATTTTAAAATCTTCTCACTTCTGTCTTGGTACTAAAGTTTAAAATTTTTCAATTTAACTACTCAACTTTCAAATTGCTCCTATTTTAATCACTCTAATTTATTTTATTAATAATTTTGTGACATGGCATTTTTTATTATTTTATTAATACATAATTAAAAATAAAAAATATATTTGAAAGTCAGAGTGATTAAATTATGAGTAATTTGAAAATTAAGTAATTAAATTAAAAAAAAATAAACTTTAGTGACCAAAATATGAGTGAGAAAATAGTTGAGTAATGAATGATGTAATTTACCATAAAAAGGTGTCATGAACAAATTACCCGTTAAATTTTTAACAAAGACGTACTAAAACGAAACAAAAACTAAACATTAAGTATGCTTTTAAAAAAATAAAAGTTTAGATACTAAAATAAAACAAATTTGATAGCTTAGGTACTAATCGCATAATTTCCCTATATATTTATATATCTATAATATACTTAATTTTTTGATTGAGTTAGTATTGATTGAATAAAAGTTAAAAATATATTGTCACTTAATAATTTTTTTTATTAATATGAGATAAGTATAAGACATTATCTGATCAAATATAACTTTTAATCATTTGATATTGAACAATCACACCCTTAATATTCCTGGTGCTCGAACGCAATATCTTAATAAATAATAATATTTTTTATCATCAAGATCGTTTAATTCATCATCACTTAATAATTTAAACTTCAAAAATAGAACTACAATTTGATACACGTGATCAATGTGGGGGAATGATTAAATTATAAGATGTTGAAATTTTCAAACAAGTATTAAAGGCTGTTGTACTGCTGTCACCCACCATGGCACAAGACTTTGAAAATATTGGAATAAAAACAGTGAATTTTGAGGGGTCGTGGGCTCGTAGCACAAAGATTCTTCAATAATTTCAACTTTAAATTGAAATAATTGTGTATATATAAGAAACCGCTCTTTAATTCCAATCAATATAGTGATCAAACTCAACCGACAAATGATGCACGGATTATATATTTTTTTAGTATTTTGGTTTATATTTGAGACCCTTTATTGTCCCTTCAAATGATATTATTTTAAAATTGAGTTAATTACATTTTGATCATTTTCGTTTACGTTTTGTTTACTTTTCCACATTAATTTTAAAAAACATAATATAACATCCTTAATACCGGGTTAGTGACCAAATTGTGAGATTTTAAAATTCAGTGACAAAACTAGATAAATTGAAAATTTTAGGGACATAAATGAAATATTTTGTGTAAGATGATTTAGCAAATGAAAGAGGAATAAAGGGGTAAATGGGTCATTGAACAAGGGAAATGATTAAATATTTGGTGTGGGTATTTTATAACCCACATGGAACAAATTTTGGGGGAAGCAAAGGTTTCCATACATTTCTTCATCACTCTTCTTCTCCAACCGTGAAGCCCCATAAGTTAAGTCGGATGGAAATTTGTATTATAAAGGAAGAATTGTGATATCAGACGATGTTGAATTAAAGAAAGATATTTTGACAGAGGCTTATTGCAGTCTATTGACGATGCATCGGGTGGAATCAAGATGTATATGGATTTGAAGGATCGGTATTGGTGGCCAGTGATGAAAAAAAGTATCATCGAATTTGTGTCTAAATGTTTGGTATGTCAACAAGTCAAAGCCGAGCATCAAGTTTCGTCCGGAATACTGCAACCACTTTCCATTCCTCAATGGAAATGAGAAAATGTAACGATGGATTTTGTACCGAATTTGGGTGATTGTTGACAGATTAACCAAGTCAGCACATTTCATCCTTGTTAGAACTGATTTTTCTATGGAAAAGTATATTGAGTTGTATATTAGAGAAATTATTAGACTGCATGGAGTGCCAGTTTCCATAATTTCTGACCGAGACCCTCGATTTACTTTGAGATTCTGGAAATCCCTGCATGCAGCGTTGAGAACTCGCCTAAACTTTAGTATGGCTTTTCACCCTCAGACTGACGGATAATCAGAGCGGACTATTCAAATATTAGAGGATATGTTGAAAGTGTGCATAATGGAGTTCAAATGATCGTGGGAGAAGTATTTACCACTGGCAGAATTCGCTTAAATTAATAGTTATCAGTCCAATATTAAGATGGCACCCTATGAGGCATTATATGGAATGAAATATCAGACGCCATTAAACTGGTATGAGCTTAAAGATCGAAGTGTTCTTGGTCCGGATTTGATTCAAGATGTGGAAGAAAAAGTTTGAGAAATTCAGCATAATCTTAAAGTGGCATTCGACCGGCAGAAGTCATACTCTGATCTTAAAATAAAAGAAATTGAATTTGTTATTGGGGATGATTTTTTCTTGAATGTATCTCCTTGGAAGAAAATATTAAGATTTTGTCGGAAAGGAAAATTGAGTTCTAGGTTCATTGGGCCATATGAGGTTGTTAAGCGGATAGGACTAGTGGTATATCAGTTATCTTTGCCACCTGAAATTGAGAAAATTCATAATGTCTTCCATGTATCCATGTTACAGAGATATAGGTCCGACCCCTCTCACATCGTTGCACCAGAACAAGTAGAATTCCAACATGATCTGACCTATG